AGCCATAACCCAGTAAAGAGAATTGTGAAGTTGTGGTTTTATTTCATTTTTTGCAAAGTATTAAGAACATTATTCTGGAACATCAGAACGTTTCCCGTAGACCGCTCCCAGCAGATAGCAGCTCAAATTGCTGCAATATTGTAATTATAATTGATTGTACTTAAGTTATGGATGTAGAGAATACGTCTCATTCATTCAGCATGTAAATAAAATTGATCCTATTGAGTTACCATAATTGCAGTTCAGCTACTTCCCATGGTTATTCTTTTCACATATCATTCATGATGTACATTTGTGTACATTGAGGAGAATAGCAGTCTATGTAAATGTAATCCTCAGTGAGGCTCCTCAGTGCTGGGTCCCATACGATTGTATTTGCCCTTGTTAATGAGGTTTTTCTGTTGAGTGGCTTCAGTTTTTTTTTTTTCTTTATACATTTATTTTTGAAGATTTACTTCAAGTTTGAATCTTCTAGAACCCTTGTAAGTCCCACTTTAATTTTTGGAGTTGATTTGTAGTTCCATGTAGTTTAACTTTGCAGAAGTGTCATAACATCGTGTTGAAAAAGCTTGCTAGTAAGTCAGGTCGTGGCACAGGCCGATGCGGTCGACATGATTTCATTGCAAAGTCTATACGAATTGGCAAGTTTTTGCTTTGCTAAATATGACTTCAATGAACACAATTCTACATAATTTTTGAAAATGCCATCTAATTTATAAAAATCAATAAAAAGGTTTTGGTAAAACTTTTTCATGCCAGATGCTGTTTACAACAATGAACATGCCAATAAAACATTTGTTCATTCTGTTGTGTTATTTTAGTCATTAAACTTTTGTGGATGAAGAATCTGGATTAAGAATAGACTTGTTTTCTTTAACATTTTGTAACATGTACTGAATAATCTCATTTCTGTAAGGTCCCTCTACAGGAAAGCTCTCTGAGATGAAAAGATGTTAATATTTAACTTTGGAGGATCCTGTCAGTATTTCAAAATCAGCTTTTTACCTTATTTCCTTTTAAGAAAGATAGAAAATAGTATTAGCAGATGTTGGCTCTATAGTTTGAATATAGTAATTGAGAATTCCATAATACCTTTAAGGTTTCTTGAAATCCACAGGGGATGGGGGGGGAATCTTTCCTAAGATATTTTTCTGGCTGATTTTTATTCCATGTAAACCGTGTAGCATTCTGCTAAATTTCACTGAAGTACGTTCCAAGTTTGCGTTAGTGGAGTTGGTGTTCTCCGAGGAAAAACTTGGAAGCATTTGTGGTGCATTGTCTTTCAGATCACTTGGATTTTCTGATGTAACACAACAGCCCTTTGGCTCTAATACAGGCTTACTTCCTGGGAATATAGGGTTAATAAATGAAGTTTCTGCCCTTGAGGACCCACTCTCTGTGGAGAAGAGGCTGATTGTTAACAAAATGGGCTTTGGCTTTGGTTTGGTTTCGCGTTCCTTTAAGAGGGGGAAATGGTAAAATTCTTCTCACACCTGCTCCTCGGTCTGTGCCTTCTGCCCTGCTTTTTGTGTTGGTGGTTGCTGCTTCTAATTGCAGGAAGACTACAAATGCCAAGGGTAAAGAAAAAAAGCTCCCTGCTTTTCAGTGCCTGATAGAGTGAGAACACGGTGTTGCACTTTAACAATTTCAGCAAAGGGGTGGTGAACTTTTCAAACTCGATTTGTGGTGATGGAAATGGTAATTTATGTGAGGGAAGTTAACGTGTGCCCACCTCCCTCAGATTCAGAGAATCCCGTGAGGACCCATCAGCCAAGAGGCAGAGCACAGACTGTGTGGGGCCAGTGACACAAACCACATGCAATAAATTGTGACCCTGTTCCTCACAGGTCACGCCAAGGTTTTGAAGAGCTTCTACCGTGGGACAGATGGGTTTGCGTCAGGCACACCAGGTGAGAACCAAGTAAGTACCTATCAGGCAGGTGCTGAAGGTGAGGGGTATGTTCTGGTCAAAGAAAACCTTGTGCTTTCAGGGCCATGCTGTGTCTAGCTGGTCTGTGCAGAAGCTTGCTAGCTGGAAGTCCACTTGCTAAACTAAGGAAGTGTAAGGAAGGGCTAATAATCATAATGAGATAAAAGTAGGGAAGGAGCCCTACACTAGAATATTCAATGGTCTCTTTCAGAATGCATGGAAATTACTTAGAGATTCTGAGAAGTTGAGGGCAGTGGGAGGGAGACTGCGAACCTATGCCACAGCTAGAAAATCGTTGCCAGGCTGCACTGTTAGGAAGGGTGCTGTGTCCTGTCTAGGCCAGGGGAGAGGGAGAGAGCGAAAACTTACAGCACGGTCTAAGCTAAATGAGTGCACAGAAACAGAGCATTTTTAAATCTGGAAGTGACCTGTGAATGCATGGAATACAATAAAATCATTTATTCTGGTTCATTCGCTTTCCGGTTGGGAAAATTCTCCCTCTGAATTTTGTCCCTTTGTTTAGCATCAAGACCCTAACTAACTCCTTCGCACTTGTGACTTACAAATTATAGTCTAAAGTATATGGAATAGGGGATAATCTTTTTTTTAAAGATTTTTATTTTATTTATTTGACAGATCACAAGTGGGTAGAGGCAGGCAGAGAGAGAGGAAGGGAAGCAGGCTCCCTGCCGAGGGCTCCCTCCCTTCGGGGCTCAATGCCAGGACCCTGGGATCATGACCTGAGCTGAAGGCAGAAGCTTTAACCCAGGCACGCAAGAGGGGATAATCTTAAGTAGCAATTTTTTTTTATTAAGTAAAAACTATTGCATCTAAATTCTTTTTAATTTTTGAAGAATAAGTCAATATTTTGGTCACTAGTCAGAAGCCTTATAAGGCAATTCAAGTCTTTTAAAAAAGCAAAACTGTGCATGACGTATAGTTTTCTGAGGGGCTAGAAAATATTTTCATCAGGTTTGCAAAGCAGTTCAGGGCCCAAATAAAGCTTGTGGCCAGTCAAGACCAGGTGTACACTTGAGTATTCTCAGTGTTGTTCCTGTGGGGAAGGAGGGTGCTATAGGACCACTTGGTTACATACAGTGTTTTCAGAACTTGGCTTTTAGAAACAATCAAGAGTGTGTGAAAACGTGTGATCATTCAGAAAAGAATGCAGCGATCAGAGTGGCCAAGATAGGAGGGCAGAAAAGCATCAGGGAGGAATGCTCTGACCCTTCCCCGTGCCAGCACCGACTCTTCCTCGCCTTACCAGCTACTCTGCACCGGAGAAGCAGGTCTTCTGACTGGTTAGAGCTGGAGAACTCACCAAACCAAGAATTATTAGTGGACCCTATAGCTTTGCCTCAGAAATGGGGACCATGCTCCCTCTCTTTGTTCCCGGTCTGCCTCTTTCCCCAGTACAGAGGGCATACTTAGTGTTCAGCTTCTTTTATAATGCTTGAGTAACCCGTTTAAGGAGTACCAACTTGTTGAGATACGACTATGCAGGAGTTCTGTTTCTCGAGTGAGTGCCAGCTGTGTGTGGCTGATTCAATTTCCCACCGGAAGTGGGCTGGAGCAGGATGTACCTGCCCACGAATTCCGTGAGGGAAGGACCAACTTTTCTCTCATGTACCACCGTCTCCTGGCACCTAATAGGTAGGGCCTGACATATAGTAGGAACTCTGAAATTTTTGTGGAATGAAACCATTTTAAGCCTCTCCTCCAAACACCTGTTCAAATTTACCTTACTTTCCAGCCTCTGTGAATTACTCTGTTTCCTCTCTATACCATCCCTTTTTCTTGCCTGCCTCCCTCCCTCCCTCCCTCTTACCGCTGGCTCTGAATGCCCTTTCCTATTCCTTCTGACTACCTCATAAACTCCTGTGAGCTGTGAGAGCTGATCCCCATGCCAGCTCTCCCAAACCACGTGCTCCTCTGAGGCTCCCGTAACACCTTTCTGATACCGGGCTCACTGGTTTGTGGGTGCTGAGTTCACTGGGCCTCTCTCAGGAGGCTGTGATGATGCATTCAGGGTAGGGGCCCTATCTGGATCTCTGTGGCACCCCCAGAGCCTATCGCAGTACCTGGTTCGAGTAAATACTTGCTGAGTAATAAGGATACAGAACGGTCATGATGACTTTGACATTGAATAGAGAACAACTCTGTATTTGATCCTAAAATTACCTGTATATCCTGAGCAGACTATACTAGATACTGTTTTTGTTGGACTTTTAGCTCTATCACCTCATTTTTTTAGTTTTATTTATTTGACAGACGGTGAGAGGGGATCACAAACAGGGGGAGTGGGAGAGGGAGAAGCAGGCTTCCCGCTGAGCAGGGAGCCCCGTGCAGGGGTCCTGGGATCATGACCTGAGCCAAAGGCAAACGCTTAGTGACTGAGCCACCCAGTGGCCCTATCAGATCATATTTTTGAGCTTCCGTTTTTTTCATCTATTAAATGAAGAAAATACTCCTAGATTCAATGAAGATTAAATGAGGTAATATAGGTAGACTGCCTACTCTGGCGCCTGCCACCCAGCTGACCTTAATATATAGTAGTTTTATTATTACAGCCCCTGAAGATCTGTGTTACGGTTCAGAACCGCATTTGAATAAAAAGAGTCAGGGGCGCCTGGGTGGCTCAGTCGTTAAGCATCTGCCTTCAACTCAGGTCAGGATCCCAGGGGCTTGGCCCCAAGCCCTGCATCAGGCTCCCTGCTCAGTGGGGAGTCTGCTTCTCCCTCTGCCCCTCCCCCTAGTCATGGTCTTTCTCTCTCAAATAAATCTTTTTTTTTTTTATGAGTCCTATACATTCCATTCACTCTTTCAGAAGACACTGAAGTATTCACATTCTTAACACTAATCCCTGACAAAAATGGTTAGCATTTCTAAAATATTTTGGTGCTATAACAGGTATGCTTCACTTGTCTGGAAAATTCACTTATGTGGCATAGTTTTTTGGTGTTTTTTTTTTTTTAAACGATGCAGTTCATTTCCATTTTATTTTTTCTGGATAAAAGTGTTATTTATTCAAAATCAAAAGGAAAAAAGACATCCAAGAAACTACAAAGGAGTAGTTTAAGTGATTTATGCTTGATTTTTTAAATGCAACATAGGTGTTTATACATAATTTAAAATTCAAAGCATGCTTATACAATCGTGTGCAATTTTAAAATTTAATAACTCTGGATGAATACATGATGGAAACAGTCCATGGCACCTGAAAATATCATTTACAGAATAGCATACAGTCCAGTGCTCTCTCAGCTTGGATATTACAACCATATTTCATAGAGCCTTGCTTTGTTCGATTCTCTCCATGTGGTTGATAACGGTCTTCAGTTGCTGGTAAGTGATTTTGCAAATTTCATTTATAATCCTGGCCCTACCATTACTTAAGTACTGTTTCTGGCAAGTTAACATATATATTCTGCACCAATCATGTACTTTCCAAGTCACTAACATAACTGCCATAGGGGGACAATGTCAATACCATTCGTTTCTCCGCTGGAATTAATGCCCACCCCCACACCAGGGAGAATGCTATGTCTAACAGTACAAGTTTAATCTTAACAGTGAACTAGATTGACCTTAATTCCAGATATGCCTCAAAAGAAAAATTCCCATCCATCATCCTTTTAGAGGGTACTTTAGGTGGCATTGGGCTGGCAAGGAGGGACAGGGAAAGCATGCACATGGACCCACACCTGGGAGCAGTCATGCTCTGGTCTCCACTAGCTGTGTGACTCGGGCAAGCAACCTGATGCCCCTGAGACGCCAAGATGCTGACAAATGGGGAGACTGCCACCCTCCCTGCCAGACTATGGTGAAGGGTCTGAAACTGCTACCCTCGCACAGGCAGGTGCCGAGGAATACTGCTGACAGGACAGGGACGCACGTGACACGGAGTGAGCAGAAAACGTCACCCGCAGCCGTGGAAGGCACAGCTTGCCTGTGCCCATGGGAAGAAATACATGGAAAATTCCTTTGTTACATTTCGCCAGGTTTATGTTGGCAAAGCAGGGCACTCTCCTCCACATGTAAGAGAGTCCACATTTCCCCAAAACCCATCACGGGGACATCAGCATCCTTTTCCGTCCTCTCCCCTCCTCCAATTCTCAAGGTGATGTAGAAAAAAAGGAAATGTGCCAGGTGCCAGCCAGCAGAGGCCGAGTGGCCCATACTCTGGACCAGTGTAGCAGCTCCCCACCCTCCCACACACCCCCGTGGTCCCCAGGCACCGGGACTGTGATGGACGGCGCACAGTCCAGGGAGCTGGACAAACGCACAGCTCCTCGTTTTAAGCCAGAGGGAAAATGTACTGGGAAGAGGCCATGGAAAAAAGCCCAGTAAGCCCACACCTAGAGGACACAGCTGGGGAAATAAATTAGCTATTTCTATCGCATGTCTACCGCGCACAGAGCAGGCCTCCGTCTAAATCTCCTCTCCTTCCAGCAGCTCAGAGGCAGCCCCAGGCTCCCCAAGCGCCATCTCCACGGACAGGCTCCTTTCCAGGTTCTCCAGCTCCTGGCGCACCTCTTCAATGAAGCTGCCGTCCTGGTACTCGTCGGGGGCCTCTCTGGGCACCAGGCTGTCTCCGGCGTCGGCATGGCTCCCTGGGAAGGCCGGCTGGCACACGTACACCAGGCTATGGCTGGGGCGACACGGGGGCTGGGCTCAGCTGCTGGGAGAGCTGACGCGGGGCTCTCGACGTGGGGGGGGCCCGTGCCAGAAAACAGGGCCCTGGCACTGAGCTCACCTTCGTACCTCCTCTAACGCCTCAACGGGGTCTTCCCTCCCTGTCCACATCTCACCTTAGGAAAGTCTGCTGAGGGAGGGTCACTTCCCGAGGGGCGGCTCCCCCACCTCACGCAGAGGCCTGTCCCGGAGACTCTCGGGGGCAGGCCCTGGGCGCTGTGGGGCCCGAGGGCTTAGGGCAGCGCATAGCCCCTCTCAGCCACCGGCCCGCCTGCCAGATCTGCTGCTCCCGTGGGGAGCCGCAGGCCTCGTGAGGCAGGGCCAGGGGAGTCCTCTTGTCTGCCCAGCCACCCCAGATTCTGGAGGGTGGTGGGGAGAGTAGTGCCGGCAGGGAGGCCACACCTAGATGCTTCATGGTCTCTCAGCAGCTAGGGCACTATGAGTGGTGCCCCATTCGGAGGGCCCACTCTCCTGGTCTCCCTCCTCACTCACCTCTGCCAGCTCTTCCTCAGTTTGTCCTTCACTGTGAAGGGCCTGGGCTCCCGCCTCAGCCCCCAGCTCTTCTGCCTCTATACCCCGTCCCTGGGTCACCTACTCATAAGGCTTCAACCGCCATGCAGACAGCTCCAGATCTGTACCCCCAGCCACAGCTTCTCATGAGCCCCAGACGGACAGACAGGACTGCTGGGAGACTCTCCACCTGGATGACCCAAGGACACCGCCACTTAAATCTGTGGGAAACTAAACCCACATCACTCCTCAGCTCCTGAGATCCCACTGGGTGGCCCCTGCTCTGCTCTTGACCTCCGACGGGGAGGGCAGGCAGGGCCTCACCTGTGGGGCTGGCAGAGAAGGCCGCTGGCACACGGGCATCGGTCCAAAGCTCCATCAGGCTCTAACTCCCAGGTGATGAGGTCCAGAAGCCGGCTGGCGGGGTCATGGCACAGCTCACCCTCCACAGGCAGGGGTGTGCACACAGGAAACAGCAGACCTGGGACCAGGGCAGAGTCATTCCCTGCATGCCCAGCATGGAGCAGGGAGGCACCACGGAAAGGAGCAGAGAAATGGGGGGCAGCCCCGACCTTCCACCCTCAACCACAAAGCGGAGATTAAAACTGAAGAGGTGGGATGGGAAGAAACAATGGCAGGACGGGCTCCAGAGGGCTGGGCCAGTTAGGGAGGACCGCATGGGGACGCAGACTTATGCTGGATTTTAAGGCCAAAGGTCTGGAGAAATTGGGAGTGTAGGAAAGGCCCTTGGGGCTGGGACCGGGGCCAATAAAGGCCTGGGTTGGGCGTGGTGGGAAAGGCTGGGAGCCCTGGAGAGAGAGGGCGGACAGATAGGCTGCAGCTGGCCTTGAAAGGCAGACTGAGGAGTCTAACTGATGAGACAGAACAGAGCGACCCCAGCTGCCAGAAGAGCCCCACTGAGAGCTGACTTTGGGGAAAATGGCTGGGACAGCAGGGACCAGGTGGGCTGGGGCTGGCAGAGGCTGAACTGGGGAGGCAGCTACGGGAGAGGTTTTCAGAAACACGGCAGGAGGGGAGAGTGCCTGAGCAAGCTCCCCCAGGAGCAGCCATGAGAACGGAATGGGAATAGAAGGGGCCCACCCTCAGGAAAGAGGATGGAGAGCTGGAGGGGTTGTTCAAATCCCACCCTTTGGGGCTGTTCCTCCTTCCCTGGAATCATGCATCCTGAAGGAAGTTTGAATTTTCTAGAAGTCAACAGGGGACAGAGAGAGAGAGACATGATGGTCCACTGCAGGTGGGGACCTGCCTCAGGCAGAGGTTCTAGGACCAGGACACACACTGAGCGGGCATCTGGGGGCCTGCCAGGAGGTGGGACCCCAAAAAGCTGTGTTTGGCGTGGATGGGGCCCCAGGAAGCCTGGTATGGTGGAGCCTGGGACAGGGCTTGTCCCATACCCAGCGGAGAGCCCACCCACCTCTCTGGAAGGCACAGCATAGTCCGGGCTGGCAGTCCCTCTGATTGTCACAGATGGTCCCATTGCCCCCTTTGGTGGCTGTTTTGGTGCAGTGACCCCAGACGCACAGCTGGTCTCCACAGCACTCACTGTCCCGAGTACAGAGCTGCAGAGAGGTGGGCAAACACTAGCAGGCCAGCTCCTGTACGGGAGAGACCCCAGCCTGCGCCCGCTCCGAGCCCTAAAAGCCTGAATATGCCACGGCGGGGGGGGGGGGGGCGGTGGTTAAAGCACACATTCTCCTCACACTGGGGTGGCATGGGGGCAACTGAGGGCTTGGTTTGTGGGGCTCTTAGTGGAAGTCACGGAGGCAGAGATGGGAGATGGGAGCGGTCAGAACACTGGAAAAAAGCACCTGAGAGGGCCTCTGTACACCTGGGTCTTCCTATGCAACTTGAGATTTTGCATAGGATGCAGTGTGTCCTGCAGACGCCCCCCCAGACTGGTGCCTTGTCTCCTTTCTATTAGCTCCCTAGGTCAGGATGGAAGGTGGCTCCCGGTTCACAGATGCAGGCAGCAGCCGGATTTGGGAGCTAACTCAAGGCCCAAGTGTGGAGGCCTTGTGGGTGGGGCGGGCCCATGGGTGCCTCCGCTGGGACCCCGCGGTGGCGCTCAGACATGGCGGGCGTGGGGGACAACGGCAGCTGCCTAATCACAGGTGGCACCGGACAGGGGAGTGAGAAGCCCTGTTTTCCACACTTATGCTATGTTCTTGTCTTCTTCATGAAAAAGGACAAGAGAAGTTGATGTGCCCTTATGGCATTGTCCAAAACATCTGTTGGGTGGAGGGAGTTTCCGCTTCCCTGGCTTCGTGCTTCCCTGTGAAGTGTCTATTAGGGCCATCCTCTGGCTTCTTCCCAGCTTGCCTTCTGCCTTCTCTGGGCAGGGTGGAAGATCTGGAGTGTGGGAGTGGGGACTGCAGTAGTGTCATGGGCTGTATCTCTGGGGATGGGTCTATCCCAGGGGAAGGAACGGGGTGGGGCTCTGCCTTCCCTCCTTCCCCCTCTCCCTCCGTCCTCCATGAGGCAGGCCATGAAGTTAGGGACCATGCGGCAGGGGAGGATGTCAGTGGGTCTGCAAATGGCTTCCTAGTCCCTCTAGGAGTTGGCCCCATTGGGCACCATGGAGAGGCCCTTCCCAGCATGGACATGGTTAAGGGCCCCACCGAAGTCTTCTGGAAGCCCAACTGAGAACCATAGGGCTGCTGGCCTTCTCCCCCAAGTCCTCTTCTCTGGGACGCAGCCCAGCCCCCAGAGTCCCTCTGCTGCAGCCGCAGAAGCCTCTAGGCACACTCACTGTCTGCGGGTCCCGGCAGGGCTGGCAGGTGTACTCGAAGCTGGCGAACTGGCAGTACCTGGTGGGCCCGCAGTCCTCGTCAATGATGCACTCCTGAGGAGAGGGAGGGAGCCGCGTCATCCGTGGGCGGTGGAGCTGAGCCCACAGTGCCCTGGAAGGGCAAAGCCCCTTCATCCCAGGCCCCACAGGCTCTGGGGGCTCCAGAGGGGCTCCAGAGAGTCTCCAGACTCCCCTCACTCCAGAGCCCAGCTGGCTCCTGCTGCTCAGCTTCCGCACCCTCCCGGCCAGGCGGGCCCTCGCCCACACAGCTCGCCCGGGCGTCTGCCCTCCGGGCTGCCGCCCCAGTTCACACAATGGCATCTGTGTGCAGCACCCCTCCGACCACCACACACACACACACATCCAGGGCGGGGAGCGCAGAGACGCGGGCCCAGTCTCCAAGCAGAGCAGATGGAGTTCATAAACGCTAATGAGTTCCAGCCCTGGGACGGCTACACAGGAGGAGCGGGAGCCCAGGCTGTTGACCAGGAAGGAAAGGGGCCATACAGGTCTCCCTGGGGCCCCCTCTCCTCCGAGTCCGGGTCCAGGTCTGGGTCTGCCAGGCAAAGGCAGCTGCTGGCTTCGGCGGGGCGGGGGGGGGGGGGGGCGGCTGGCATGGGTGCTGCGGCCCAGGTGCCCATCAGGCTGGAGAAATGGGGGAGAGAGAGAGGCCCCGGGAAGGCCTGGTGTAGGGAAGAGTCCCCATACCCCAAATTAGCCATACCATGTTGGGGGTCCCCTTAGCCTCTCTGAGCCTCCATTTCTAGGTTAGCGACAGGAGAAAGTAATCTCTCCCTGCAGCCTGTTGGGCAGAGTCATGAGATAGATCCCTCCCGCTCCCCTGCCCCCCTCCTCTGGGGCTGCTCCACGGGTCACTGGTGGTGGGTCTTGTCATGGCCTTAACATGGCAAGGTGGGGCAGCTCAGCGAGAGGCGCCCTTCCTCTCAAAAGGAGGGGTAAATGCTTGTCTTGTTCCCATACCAGCAACCTGAAAATGCTCAGCCAGGGGCAGAGGGAGGCACTTTCAGTCTGACTCCAGAGCCCATCATGGCTTGAGAAGTCCACGGCGCAGTAAGTAAGCCATAAGACCATCACGCCCTCTGGACACACTCAAGTCAGCCAGTTCAGCTGGGAGAATCCAGGTCCAGACACTTCTTCCAAAGCAGAAAAGCAAAAGCATGGGGTGGGAGGGAAGGAGAGAGGGCCAGCGGGCACTGAGGAGTTTCTCTGAATCTGGCCATATCTTCAAGCACTCGGATGTAAACATAAATATGAAGAAGTCCTTGCCCTCAAGAATTTATAACTCAGCTGAAAACAACAACAACAAAAAGGCAATCTAATAGAAAAGGAGACAAAAGACTTGAACAGACAACTTAGGATAATAGAAACCATTCCACCTCTTCACACAGAAAAAGATGTTTAACCTCACAAATAATTGACAAAATGCAACTTAAAAGAGCAGGATACCCTGTTTTCATGTAGAGAGGACACCAGTAAAAAAGGTTAATACCATCTGGAGTGGGCAGAGAAGTGCCCCACCCCCAGAATGTCCACATCCTACTCCCGGACCCCGTGGATGCATCAGGCTACAAGGTAGCGGGAAATTCAGGTCACAGGGGGAAGCTGGGATGCTAGTCAGCTGCCCTGATGATAAGGAGAGAATCCTAGTTATCCAGGTGAGCCCAGGGTAACTGCAAGAGGCTCTGAAATTGGGAGGGGGTGCAGAAGAGGCAGTGTCGGAGAGACGCCTGGTTTCCCTGGTTTTTGTTTTTTTTTTTTAAAGGCTTATTTATTTGAGACAGAGAGTGCACACATGCACGCGTGAACAGGAGTGGGGGGAGGGGCAGAGGGAGAGACGAGAGGATCTCAAGCGGACTCCTCGCTGAGCAGAGCCTGCCGTGGGGCTCACCTTCACAACTCCGAGATCAGGACCTGAGCTGAAACCAAGAGCTGGAGGCTCACCTAGCTGAGCCACGCAGGCGCCCTCAGACTTTGTCGGTTGTGAAGGTGGGAGGGGCCACGGGCTAAGGAAGAATCTCTCCCGGAGCCTTTAGGAGGATAGCAGTCCTACTGACACTCTCGTTTCAGATTTCAGCCCAGCGAAGACCTGCGTTGGACTTCTGACCTCCAGAACTGTAAGACGACCAATTTGTGTTGTTTTAAAGCCACTAAATTCATGGTAGCTTGTTACAGCAGCACAAGGACACTAATATAATATCCAGTATTGGTAGGGAATTGAGGAAAGAGGCATTGCCACATGCTTTGGGGGTAATTAAAACTGAACAAGATGCTTTTGTGGGCAATTCATCAGTATCTACCCCCAATTTTTTTTTTTTAAATATTGTATTTATTTATTTGACAAAGAGACACAGCGAGAGAGGGAACACAAGCAGGGGGAGTGAGAGAGGGAGAAGCAGGCTTCCCACCAAGCCGGGAGCCCGATGCGGGGCTCGATCCCAGAATCCTGGGATCATGACCTGAGCCGAAGGCAGATGCTTAACGACTGAGCCACCCAGGTGCCCCCA